TTCATTATTTACTAAAATTTTGCTACAGTGAACACTGTGCAACAAGTTCAAAGTCATTTTCTGGGGCGAGATGATGTCAACTCGGGATAAAAAAAGATTTCGATGTTTTACTATATGTGTCTGGGCCTTTCGTCATGAGTTGAAATAGGGACCGTAACAGTTATAACTTTTATTAAAAAAATTGCTCTTTAACAATTACTTTTATTTAATTACTCTTTAAATAACCGCTATTTCTGACTTTTATTTTATAAATCCAAAATAAAAATTATTTTTAATTTTTATCTAAATAATCGGCAAATAACTGTTATTTTTGATTTTTAAATTATATGTCTTAGATAACAGTTATCGAATACTTTTATTTATAAAAGTCATAAATAAAAATCAGTCACTGACATTTATTTTTTAAATCATACTTATAAAAGTCATTTGCATAAGTCGTAGTAAACTTTTGTTTACCAACTGTTATCTAAGACATAAAATATAAAAATCAACAACAATTGTTATTTTGGATTTATAACATAAAAATCAAAAATAATTGTTATTTTTTTTAATTTTGCATAAAAATTGCAAATAAAAATTTATTTTCAAGTTTGAGTCTTGGTGAAAAAAGAAATCGATTGGTATGTATCACTTAGTTGTAGAACATTTCCTTCATAGTGAATTTTTCCATGACAGTTTTCATCAATAACTGTTATGTTCGGTTCCTGTTTGGAACCATTCCGCCACCAAAAAGCCGTTGCATTGTGTAATTGGTACTGCCACTAATTTTCAATCAATATAACTTTTAGCGTTTATTTAAACAATCTTGCTTTGAAACCGTTCGAATTATTTTATCATGCGTCAATTGTCGTGCTAATTTTAGTGCTCGGTGGTTCCAATAAAATTTTAAAATTATGTATTAATATACATAAATATAATTTTGGTATCCATTAAGGTTGTTGGAACAACAAAATTAATAAAAAAGCCAAAAAAAGTAAAAAATATGTCCATAATTTAAGTTTTGAAAAATTGCCAAATTTCGCCAACATTTATAACGCCAATTAATGTTTAGCGCAATACAAATTATACTTTATTACCGAAAGGCTACATATTTATGAACATGCGTTTATGCGTAAACAAAAGTTGTTTATTTTTATAAAAAAATGCGCATAAAATATTTATGAACATTTGCACAACTGAAATTATGGTTGCATTAAAATTTTAGTACTTAGTAAATACATATAAAAGAGAATATAAATAAATATTTATGCCAACTTTACCAATTTATTTATTTTTGGTAATTTTTGCAAGCACAATTTTAATTAATCGAGTCGAAAAATCTTCAAATATTTAAATACGTATATATAAATGCGAAATACGAAAAAAGCAAAAGTTGTCGACTAAAATTGCTCATTGAAACACGCTAATGGCTAACTACATAGTAACTCGCATTGTCGTACATAATACGTATGTATGTGTGTAAGTATGCAGGCAATATGTATGTAAGTGTGTGTTCATGATTGATAACTAAATTACTAAATATTTACGAGCCAGTATTTATTGATAAAATGTAAGTAATAAAATTTATTGAGCTGTATTAAATTTTGTAGATACCTTTACGAATATATCTGGGTGTAGGTTCTAAAAATATATAAAATACAACAACAGTAAACAAATATTATTTCAGTTAATGCTGAGAGGTTTTTTTTTAGTATTTTTAGTTAATAGCTGATTGCTTAGATAGAAGTACCAAGTCCATACATACTTTTATATATATAAAGGACCGGGAATGAGCGAAAGAAAGGTGTAGGGTTGAATAACCATTTACATATGATTTTATGTATTTCTGCATATATGCGCATACATATATTTATGCCCACTAACTATATAAGCAGAAGTGTCCATATTATAAGACTCAAATTGCAATTCACATCTTTTTAAAAATCTTATCAATTTTTATATCTTTGCATATCGGCGACGCCTTTGTTAAACCGCCCATCGATTGGTTGGAAAACCGTCTAAATCGCTATTGCGGCAAAAATTAGATTTGGCAAACCTGAACACCAGGCATCGAGATTTATGCCTATCAAGTCAAAGCCTTCAAAGAAAAACAGTTTTTTCGCATCCCCTGAAAAACCGAGTGCCGTAAGATATGCGGTTTTGCAATTGGTCGATTGTAGGATTAAGACATCAACAACACATTTTAGTTGTTGCTGACCGATAGTGTTATGGATATATCACACTTATATCAATAAATCGTATCGATAAACACCTTCGTCTTCATTTTAATCGCTGTCTTCATATACTTATTTGTTTTCGTATTAGCCGTCGCATCCATCCTTGTGTTTGTTTTAGTCGCAGTATTAGTATTCGTCCTCGGACTTTATCCAAATTTGTATTCGTGTTCCACTTTGTATTCGATTCATTATCTTGTTTCATATTCTTGCTTCGTATTCATCTTCGACTTCGTCGTCGTGTTCGTCTTTGCATTTGCCTTCGTACTAGTCTACGTACCTTCGTATTAGTCTTGGTTGCTGTCTTCATATGCATCCCTTCGTATTTTTCTTCACATTTATCTTCGTCGTCGTCTTCATATTCATCTCGGTATTTAATTTCTCATTCGTGTTCGTTTCAGTGTAGTCTTTGTATTCGGCTTCGCAATAATCTTCTTTTTCATATTCGTCTTCGTATTCGTGTTGTCTTCATTTTGAACTGCATCCTGGTGATCGCATTTGTATTCGTCTTTGTATATTCTTCGTATTTGCCTTCTTTCACGTCTTTTCATTCTCGTTGGTAATCGTGGTTTGGTGATTATTCGTATTCGTGTTCTTCTCAGTGGTCGGTTGTGTCTTCGTGTTTAGAAACAACGTAGCAAGAGAAAATGCGAATATACAACTCTAAATTAAGAGCTTGCAGCAACAGATTCACAGAAGTGCCGAAATTCTTATACGGCGATTGGAAACATTTTCAGTGGTGTTTTTGTTTTCAAACTCGGTCAGGTAGAACATTCAAACGAAAATGGACATAAATTTTGTCCAATTAAGATAACAGAATTTTTCGTCACACTTTAGAATACTTTCGGATATTTCTATTGACTAATTTTAGGAAATTTGAGAAATTTTCATGACTTTTGCATCATCTGGAGTTTTAGTCGAAACAGCTTCGAATATTTACGATTTTTAATCTTTGGTGATTGTTCGTGATCTTCAGAGATCTTCTTTTTTTAAGAGTGTTTTAACCTTTTTTTAGATTCTTCAAGAATATTTTCGAGAGCTTTTAGCATTTGTCAGGTTTTATGCGGGGCTTTTCAGGGGTTTTCCAATTTATCGATATTTTGAGGTTGTTCGTGACTTTTCAAGAGCCTCAACCAATTTGTATAATATTTTCGGGACATTTCCAAAACGTTTTCAGGACATTTCGGATTTTTTTCAGAATTTTTTCGAGGTTAACTTCGGACTTTTCAGGATTCTTCGTCAATTTTTGTCTTTTCAGGACATTTCGATTTTTTTTTTTCAGATTTTTTCACGACCATTTGGGATTATTTTTTGAGTATTGGGGATTTTTCATGACTTCTAGAATTCTATTCGAGAATTTTCGGATTTACAGAAATTTTCGGGAACTTCGTAATTTTTGGTAATTTTTCCGGTTTTTCTTAATTTTTCAAAGTTTTCCACGATTCAAATCTTTTTCGTGGTTTTCGTCGACTACTCGGTTTTATTGAGGACATTTTAGGATTTTCGAGTTTATCGGCATTTTTGAGTTTTCTCGAAATTTTCGCGACTTTTCAAGACTCTTCTTAAGTTAAAAAACAGCATCCAAAATCTCATTATAACTATTCCGTTGAAAATATTTTTAAATATTTTTATGCAGATTTTTAAGCTTAATTTGTTTTGTTTTCCGAGGGGATTTTTTTTCAAAAAGTTCTTTAAGAAACTATTTTTATTCAAAAAAATATCCATTTTTGGAGGTATTTTCAAATCGGTAAAGCTTACGTAAATCTTAATATTTTTCCGAAATATTTTGGTGGACTTCTTCAAATATAATAAATTTTGTAAAACCGGTGGAAAAACCGCTTATTTTTTGGGGATGCCGTCTAATGTATACCTACATATATATTTGTAAGGCAATTTCAAAACAAGAAAAGTGTTTTTTTCAGAATTGCCTTGCAAAAATACTGTAGGCTCACGACTGTACGGCGAACTTTTCTGTACGATTATAAGTTGGTACGGTCTAATGTATGCACATGAAAATATATGTATGTCGATGTTTGTTTGATTCATATAATATGAACACCTCTGCAAATATGCGGATGAGTAACTGGAACAAAGTACTTAAGTAGTTGGATAAGAAAATGGCTACTTAAAGCTACATATCTACCGAAGTTCAGCGGGTGAATAAATGAAAGCAGAAAAGGCTATGCGAATGTCTTTTTTCGTAAGGTATAAACTTTTCTTTACATTAACTAGCATAACAAAATACCGCTTTGAATACCTTGAATCAATTTTTGTGCTTTCTTTTGATTTCTTCCCTCGCATTCTACACTCTTTACAACGCGCTTTCACACAAAAGCCCTTACGAGCGAACAAATTAATAACGGTACAACGCGCAAACAGTAAGCAAAATGCTGCACCGAAATACATACATAAATAGTTGCGTATACGCAGTGTACCTTCGGAATTTCTGTTATGTATACGCCGTGACATACCGATGCTTAGGTGTATGTATGCGTGCACTTATGTACATATATACATAGTTATACATATTTAGTATATAGATAATTCTTTCTCTTTTGATTGCACTTAATTCTTCATTTTTCATATTTTTTAAGACACTTTTCAAAGGAATTTTCCCACTTTTATTAACCAAAAAAGTTTCAAAAGTACCTCACTGTATCAATAGTGAGGAGCATGTAGGGCGCACCTGGTACGCAATTACGCGTCAGCAACCAAAACCAAATAAAACCAAGGTATGTGAGATGTAGATACTTAAACGCTCAGCAAAAAGATGCGGACAAAGCTTACCTGATGCGAGTGTTGGCCATTACAGCCAGCGCCAGTGCATACGCCAGTGCCGGGCACCTTCAGCTGTTCATGCTTGTAATCCGGTTGGTAGGGAAGCAGCATGCGTATCTTGCCCCAACGATTGAAGAAGAGCGCAATAGCGCCAGCCCATACCATCAGCACGATGAGTACAATGCCAATCTCGACGCCGCGTATCTGAGAAAAGTTTAAAAGATTTCATTTGAGAAAGGGAAAGAAAAAATTGAGAAATTGAAAGAAAAAATAAATTAAAAATCAAATACACCACTGATATTCAGACTTAATCAGAGGTGGTGTGCACACTTAAAACTGCTACGAGCTCGCCTACCGTTGGCAGTTCGCGCGGTCTATGCGCCAGCGTGTTCGTCGCCGTTGATGTTACATCGTCACCATAAGTCCCATTCGCCGCTGCTGCTGCGCTGTTAGCCAAATTGCCGCCAAAAAGAGCCGCTCCTCCTCCGCCACCAACACCAGCACCTCCAATTGTCCCGCCTCCAGCAATTCCTGCATTAATATTACTAACGCTGTTTTGAGCGCCTAGCGTGCCGATCGGATGGCCAGGCGCATAGTCCTGCTGCGATGATGTCTTAGGCATATCTGATGCCATTGGTTTGATTGTGTCGCATTTTTGTGGCGTATTTCATTTTGTGGCCAGCGTTTGCGTGTTCATCAATTGGTTGAGCGAGTGGCACAAAAAATAACAGCAATTGTTGGGGACAAAAACAAAATTACAGAAAAGAAGTAGAATGAATGAATGTTTGCAGAGTACAGGGGAACAAAGGCGAAAATTCGATTAGTGTTATTATTAATGTACCCTGTGTTCTTGTAAGTAGATAAAGTTCTCAAATATTCAATTACGCCATTTGTACGTCTATATTTTTGTACTTGCATACAGTGGTGGCCATATAAATTTGTGCTTTTTAAATATTCTGTATGTTATTGTGGGACTTCATAGGAAAATATAGGACGCATCCGACAACAAAGCATAAGCTGCTATAAGCAAATGCAGTTCACGAAATAACCAAATTCCCCTTGCGGAGCGGTGTAAACCGTTTAAAGCTAAGGTTAATGTATTTTGAATAAAATGTTTCGAAAATCCAGCTAAAGAAAATCCCTTAAATTAGAAATCAAAAATAAAACTTTCAGTTGTAAGAAAACTTTGTCTATATATTTGTCCCTTTGCCTTTGTGTTTTTCGTGGTTTGTGCCTGTGTCTTTGTATTTACCTCTTTATATTTACTTCACCTTCGTCCTTTTTTTGCCATTGTCTATGCTTTAAACTTAATCCTAACCTTGATATTAATCTGAATCTCAATCTTAGCTCAATCTATTATTAACCTTATTGTTTATATTTATCTAAATCTTACCTTTAATCTTAGTGTTAATCTTAATGTTAAGACTAATCTTAATCTTAATCTAAATCTTAATTTGAATCTCAATCTTAAACGTAATCTTATTTTTACTCCTAGTCTTAGTTTTCACTTTAATCTTCATCTTAAGTTTAAACCAAATCTTAATCTTAATCCTTATCTTAATTTTAATTATAATCTTAATCTTACTTTTAATTAAGTCTTAATCTTAATCTCAATCCTAAACGTAATATTAATATTAATCTTACTCTATGTCGTAACCTTTATCTTAATATTAATCTTAATTTTAATCTTAATCTTAATCTTAATCTTATTCTTCATCTTAATCTTAATCTTAATCTTAATCTTAATCTTGATCTTAATCTTCATCTTCATCGTCATCTTCATGTTCATCTTCATCTTTTTCATCTTCATCTTCATCTTCATCTTCATCTTCATCTTAATCTTAATCTTAATCTTAATCTTCATCTTCATCTTCATCTTCATCTTCATCTTCATCTTCATCTTCATCTTCATCTTCATCTTCATCTTCATCTTCATCTTCATCTTCATCTTCA